GAGGGAGGAAAGGGAGAGAGGGAGGGAGGGAGGGAAGGGAGAGAGGGAGGGAGGGAAGGGAGAGAGGGAGGAAAGGGATGGAGGGAGGAAAGGGAGGGAGGAAAGAGAAGATGAAGAGAGGAGAGGGCTATGTTGGGACAGAGTTCAAGGAGGGAGGAAAAGGACAGTGTAGATGGCTATGATCAAGATACCTTGTATGTATTTATGAAATTGCCAATAATAATTGAAAAACATTTTAAAAAGGAAAAAAATGACCTTTATACCTGGAAGGGGTTCTACATGCTATAACTATAATCCTGAAACATACTGGTTGTTTCCAAACCTATCCTGAAGTCACTTCTGTTTATTACAAAATCATTTTCTCCTGGTGAGTTTCATTTTATGTTCATCTACAAATTGTACAGTGCTGAGAGATTACACATGTGAAAATGTCACTACCTGTTGGCCAGAACTTAGCTCAAAGTTCTGCTTTGCAGTCTGAGTGCTGACACATGTTCAAAATCATAAACTAGGCTAGGAAGGAAACTGTCCCTACCATAGTTGAAACACTTAGGTTAATCTGAGTTGGCACTTGCAGAATTGACTCCAGCTGTTGCTAGCACAGCCCTGTCCTTTAGAATATAACAGAAGTGAGTAACTCCCTTGGGGGAATACAGGTGTACTGAATCAAGGGACTTTCCTTTCAATACAGCAAGGTGGCAAATGTGCCCGTGAAGGACTAGCGTTGTTCCTCGATGCAGTGAGGGTTCGGTGCCCATTGTATCTAGAGACAGAACAGTGACAGATGAGGAGACTGGAACCAGCAGATAGCAACTGTCAAGACAGAGGCTACCTACCCATCATCATTGTGTATTACTTGATTCTCCTTGCAGAATTCAAGGCAACCGAAGAAAGGCAACCCTGGATTTTTCCTAATCTGAATAGGATTAAAAATTTCAAGTGTACTACAAACTATCAGTGAGGTTTTTGTTTGGTTCGGGTTTTCTAGTTGTGTGTGGGAGTTATTTATACTGAGTATTTTCAAATCTAAGACAGCTTTGATGTGCAATGTGTTGGTTGTATTAATAGTAATAATGGCACTGTATTTATGTATATATGAAGGGAATATCTGCTGACTGAAAATATAAGTTCACTAAATGCTACAGTATTTGACCAATCTGGTGGAATCTTGTTATTAAGACTACAAATCATGGGCTGGGAAGATAGCTCAGCAGTTAAGAGCACTTGCTGCTCTTGCAGGGGACTTAGGCTTAATTCCAGCACTCAGGATGATGATTCACAACCATTCATAACTCCAGTTACAGGGCACTGATGCCTCTCCTAACCACAACAGGCACCAAGAACACATGTGCTGCACAAACATACATGCAATAAACACTAACATATAATATTTTTTAAATCTAATTTAAAAAATTTTAAATTATGAATTGTATGAAGTAAATTAATAAATACTAGATCAATTCTGACTCATGATAAGTGTCAAGATTTATTGGTCTTTCAGGTAAATAATGATTGAGAACCTAAAGTCAATATTTAGTCAAAATTTATCTTGAAAGGCAATAAATCTTGATTTTTGCTAAAGGGAATAAGCAAATAATCTGCACCATTCTAGAGATACTGACTGCTTTTCATCTACTAAATATCCACCTTGAGTTGCAAATAGAATGATCTACAGGAGATTTTCACTTCTAAAAGACATGATTTGAGTTGTAAAGTTACTTTTAATTTTTCTTCCAAGACACTTCAATAGCAGTGTTTATATTAGTGTAAGATGAAAAGTCTCATAATGAAATGCTATAAATTTACTCCTAGCATATTTAAATCAGTGCAAATTAGCAATTTTTCCATTCTTCTTTTCCTTTGAATGTCAATGACTTGACTTTCACATTCAGTTGTTTGTTGGATTTTTGAGGAGAAAACAAGACTTTAGAAAAAGTCATGTCAGTAAAGACTTAAGTCAGAAAAACCAGAGCATGTTTGGAAACCCCTGTATTCCAGTTATCTGAGGGACACTGTAAAGTGTCACAGTAAAAAAAGGTGTAAAGGTGGCTTGGACAAGAGCTTGAAATAAGAGGATGTGTGATCTGACTAATAGGGCAGAGGAACTAGAGTTGTCTCAAGCGGGGTGGCAATCTGAGCTTTGAGAGGATTCACTCACTGCTAAGGGAAGAGTGGAAGGCGAGAGAACTGGCTGAGTCCTGACTTGACTGGGTCTTGGCTTGGGAACAGAAACAGGAGCGATTACAGCTTGATGTGAAAGTGCGGGCAAGGGTCTGTCAAAATGCCCACAACTGCTGCAGGAGCTCCTGAGTCCAGGCAGTTTGCAGAGAAAATGATGCTGCTCAGGACAGGCCTCCACAACAAAGCATCACTGGGACCAAATGACAGACACATCACTGTTAAAACCTACAGTGTGTGCACTGTTTGTAACCTGTCAGCCTTGCTGTGATTGGTGGGTTCCATTCTAGTGCTATAGGATTTCCAGTGACACATGGCTAACTGGCTGGCTGGTGGCTTTCAGTTTCATGTCTTGGAGACACACATGCAAACAAACAAACAAACAAACAAACAAAAAGCAAAACAAAACCTGTGCCAGTGCCAAGACAGGGGAGTAGTAACATCAGAGATCTCTATACTGACCCAGCTGAATCACTGTCTGTGCCAGCAACAGCTGTAACTTCTACTAGGGAATGGGAAAAGCCCTTCTCCAAGTTTGACTTTCTCACCCAAAGGAAATCATTCAAGCTGCTTGGTAAAAGAAGTGCCATGGAAAAGAGGCCTTGTCCATGCTGCACTCTTTCTTCTAAAGAGCCCGCTTGTAACTTCAGGCTTTTTTCTCCATAAACAAATTCTTTTGATGACTCACTCGCCCACTAAGAACTCTTATTTAAAGGCTACTGGCCACAGGGGCTAAACCTTTCAGCACAGCTCACCTCCTTCCATCGATTGGTTGTGTCTGAACACTGTGCCCGAAGTCCTTCGATCAGAACAGGTCAGCCTCCGTATATAAAAAGGCAAAGAGGCTCAGATGTGCTACTTAGAGCTGGGAAAAGATGTGTATTAGATACACTGCCTTACTCGAATGTTCCTCTGAAATAGAGCTGAGCCTGAGACAAGAGTAACAGTAATGCTGACACCGTCTCTAAACTCAGGATCATTTGGCAGTATGTTTCATTTTGAGAATATTATTAAAGTATGTTTCATCTTACTCACTCAGGTCTCCTAAAAGATTCTGTGTTAACACAAGTACCTGGCTCACCTTACCTTAGTCCCAGCCCTGCTCCAAGCACTTTGTCTTGCAAAGCATTCAATGTATGCTCCAATGATGTCCTTTCTACCGCACCTTCCGCTGGCATTTAACATTCTGTGGAATGACCACCAGCTCTCGTGTGTGACTCTCTAGTTACATCTCTATTATGATTGGTCTCAAAGGTCAACAACCTCTTAGTAACTTAGAAGCTGATAGTATCTTTTTGGTCTATCTGAGAAACAACAGGTCTCTCCCTACTCTGTTTCTGGACCCTATCTTTCCTCCCAGCTTGGATTTAGAAGTCTCTACTTGCATTAGCCTCAGTCTGTAGCTTAATCACACACACCGCTGCACCACGGTCGCCTCTGACTTCCCCTCACATCCCTCCCTGTTCTTAACACACGCTTCTCTCTCCTTATGTTGCACGAGGTCTCGTCTCTTTGAACTTTATGGTATCTTTAAAACACAATCTTCCTTCTTCTTCCCTGACAGCATCTCTTAGAGTAATGCCTACTTGGGCTATTTCAGTAATGACAACAATTTGATAAAATTAAAGTCATGAGAGTGGACCCAAGGAGTAGTAGGGACAGTCTCAAAATGGAAAAAGATTACTTTCATCATTTAGGTTCCTAAATCCATGCTTGGATTTCATTTCCATCCCACACCAAATTCCATATGCCCTATGAGAGTCAGACTGCATTGCCTTACTTCTTTCCTTTAGTCCTTTGTTTTAGGACTTCTGTGTTTTTCTGATTCTCTTAAAACATACCTGTGGCCATGCCCAAAGCTAATCTTTGTTTGTTTGTTTGTTTGTTTGTTTGTTTGTTTTGTTTTTTGAGACAGGGTTTCTCTGTGGCTTTGGAGGCTGTCCTGGAACTACCTCTTGTAGTCCAGGCTGGTCTTGAACTTGCAGAGATCTGCCTGCCTCTGCCTCCCGAGTGCTGGGATTAAAGGCTTGCGCCACCACCACCCGGCTTCGAAACTAATCTTTTAACTAAAAGTTTGGTATTTGAAGGCAGGCTGTTTGCATCCTTTTATTTAGACAAAGTAGGTCAAATCAAAAACTGTCTACAAGTAGAAATTCCTATTTTCTGATCCTCACCTTGCCATTTGAAAGGAATTTCTTAGCATAATAGTTGCTGATTCTCTCTCAGCCTCTTATCAGACCACTTCACAGATGGAGAAAAGAAGTATCTAACTAGTGAGTTTAGTTTTAAAATTTGTATATGTAATTGTGTGATGGGGGTTTGCATGTACCATGGTGTAGTTGTAGAGATCAAAGGACAACTTTGGGGAACTGGTTCTCTCCTTCCATCTTTATATGGGTTCTGGGGATCAAACTCAGGTCACCAGACTTGTGTGACAAATGCCATTCCCTCTGAGCCATCTCCCTAACAAGTGAGTTTTAAAGAAGGAACCTGGCATGCTCAGCTTGACCTCAGAGAACAGATTTTCTGCCTGTTGCAGTAAGAGGGTATTGCCTCAGGGATTCCAGCTGTGGCCAGATGTATACATGGATCTAATTTAGGGGTCCAGAAATGTGGTCTCTGGACAATATTTTGATCTCATCTTTATGGTATCTGAAAGGAAAAAGAAGAGATATTACTTACTAGCCTTGCAAAACGTCTTAAGGTTGCTAGCTCAGACAGAGAACATCCACTATAGGTAGTGGAGGAAAGGTCACAGCAATGGGCACAAACATGTTGGTCAGATTACTGGTAGAGTCAAGCTTCAGGGGATGATAGGAAACCTTTGGCATTATCAGGCACCTTTTATTCGAGCTAAAATTCCCCCTCCTAACAATGGATGAGAAACATTACCTTCCCAAAGGTGGCCCATCCATTGTTAGGCCAATCTAAACATCACTGGGGAACTTCCCCATATATTTAGGGCAAAAAATACAATTATCTACAATATTGCTGAATTAATATATGTGACTAAGGTTGGGATAGAATTTTTTAGTATATGAATTGTATACAGACAAAGCAGCTAAACCTTCTCCCAGGACGGAGTGTTGAAGGTGCTGACTCATAAGACTGAAAAGGCTGGCTTGAGGTTGTAAGCCAATGGCAGGGTTGCGAGCAGGAGACCATGCCTTTGTGCTCCTAATTTATTACTTACCCACTGAGTCTGGATGCCCACCCTGCCAGCCACCACATCAGGTGTGTGTACTACTCTGTGTGGTCTCTAAGAGTCTGGGGCTTGAGAAGAACCTCTTTATTGATGAAAATGGAGAAAGAGATCAAGACTTTCAAGCTAAGTCTGTTCCTCTGAGTCAGAGGCACAGGCCTGGTGATTTGAAGGACAGTCATTTTCAGCAAGGCCTCTGATTCAGCCCCATACAATTTCAAATGAGGGAGTCTCAATGAGCTTTGGTGTATGTGATTTCTAATCTTGGTGGAAATTGCTTCAAGCCCACGTCTATGCTATTGGAATGCTGGTTCCTGTCTAGAAGTAATATATACACAGCAAACTAGATTTTTTTCTTCAATTAAAAGTAATAGAGAAAACTGAGCTTGCTATTTTGTACATATTAAAACATAAGCACTTTATGCTAAGGTAAAATTTGAGAGTGGTGACTGCGTTAGAGTAGCTGGTGCTCTGGAGGGTTGCAGGAGGCCGATAGTGTAGAGCTGGTAGGTTTTGGCTTGCCGCTGAAGTTTTTTGGCCCCAGGAGCACCCAGGAAAACCCCCCCCCCAATCTCCTTCCTTAGATATCTATAGTCAGTGTTGAAAGCTGGCTGTCTGAAAACAATGAAACAGTGAATGCTGAGGGCTACTCATTTTCTTCTGCTAGGAAACTACATAAACCATGCATTCCCCTTCTGGCCAGGCACCATTTTGGTTTTGGTAATGGTCATGTTGCTATCAAACATGTGTGGTCTTTATCCCTGGGCTCAGGCAGGGAGCTTCTAAAATTCTTGGAATTTTCCTCAAATGATACAAATGCTTTTGCTATTCCTGAACCCCTTAAATCACACCTGAGTTTATAGTAATGAAAAACTCAGTGGGCCACTCAATGGCTTCAGGAAGAGAGCTGGTCATCAGAAAGAATAACCACGTGATTACAGAGTAGGGTCTTCAAGCCCACCTGACCTCCATCGAGGAAAAAAGGCTGAAGATTAGGTTCAGTCAATTTTACCTACATAACGGAATTGCTGCACAAACTTTGGGCATAGACATTTGAGGGAGATTCCTCACTATAAACAGATCATGATGTACCCTGATTCTCCATGCAGAGCAAACAGTCTATCCATTCAGTTGTTCCCAATTCACATACTTTATAATAACATGGTTAATTGTTAGTGTGGCTCCTTTTTGAGTTCCACGGGTTGTTTTAGCAAATTATCAGACCTGAGTGGGTAATGGGAACCCCTGCACATTTACAGCCAGTCAGAGTGAATGTAGCCCAGTAGGCCTGGAAAGCTAGCTGGCATGTGAAATGGAGCAGTCTTAGGAAGGGCCAAGTGTCATACTTGAACTGCAGTAAACAACTGGGTTGAAACAGCATATGTACAAATGTGTCAAACAAACTCTGATAATGCAGTTCCCACAAATTCTCAAACACAACCCAAGTCTGAGATTTCTAGTCCACTAAGACAGGCTAAGGACATTTGCAAATGCTGCGTACTTATCCTGTATATTAGTACAGCAATAGGCTCTGAGAGGTCATGTGGCAAAAACCCAGAGGTGTCTAGAAACTGCAAGATGCAGCATCATCACCAGTTTGACATGAGCAAGTTTTACACTCAACATCTATTAATAATAATTTTAAACAACTTAAGACAGTTTAGTAGTGAATGAAGGTATTCTGGACAGCTTGGTGTGGCAAGGATGGGTCTGGCAGGCCTGGCTCTTTTCCCCATATTCCCTCTGTCTTGCTAAAAACCATTAGATTACATTCCAAAAGCTAGCCACCAAGGTCTATTCCCTTATTTGGCTACTTCCTCCTCCTGACAGTGGCTACCAAGATCCAGCAATCAAAAGCCCCCTTTGGCTCCCAAATTAACTAACATGCCCAGTTAAAATTAAACAATTCATCCTAACACAGGGTTTGCCCTTGTATCTTTATAAACTGCCATTTTCCTATGTGGCATGTCTATTTCCTCTCTATCCGGAGGCAGACCATTGCCCTTCCCCCAACAAATACCTCTGCTCCCTTTCCTTTCTTCCCTTCCCCTTATCCCATGCCCTCTATCTCCCATCTTTGTTTCTTTTACCTGCCCTCTGTTCTTCTGGGGCAAATAAATCTCCTTTGTGCTAAGAGTTTGTCTTGGAGGTCCTGAGCCCAT